TTTCAGTTAATATTTTCATTTATACCTTCCAGATGTTTTTCTAAGTTAACTTTCAAGAACTCAAAATACTAAATGCAATGTGGCATAACACGTTGGATCTCTGAACAAACAACAAAAGGACATTAGTGGAAAAACTGGTGAAAAATCAAATATAGTAAGACTCTAATAATGTGCAAGTGTTAATCTCTTAGTTGTGATAAATGTACTATAGTTATGTAAGATGTTAATAATATGGGAAACTAGGTTAAGTATAGGCAGAAACTATATATTATCTTTGGAACTTTTCTATAAACTTTGAATTATTTAAAAATAAAAAGTTTACTTTAAAAAATGAACCCATTTTGTATTGTTTTAGAATCTGTTTATCTACCCAATAGTTTATCATGACATTTTTTCTGTCTTGAAATCATTATTTCAGGATTACATACTATGAATGAATCACAGCCAATCTCCCCCGTTGCTGGAAATTTAGGTTGTTTCCAATTCTTATCCTGCTATAAAAAATGCTTTCTGCACAGTCATTTCCTTAGGATACACAAACTGGAATGGCTGAGCTGGAGCTGTCAGCTGGAGAGGGCTTCCAGAGCGCTGAGCAGCCTCTGTTCAAAAGCACCTGATAAACGCCAACTCATCCTGCCCTGCTCTCCAGCAGGAAGGTGCTGCTCTCATTCCCTTATTTCAGGGCAGTTTTCAAAGGTTCTCAAAACAGAAGCCAACAAATTCTCACTAGACTTCTACCCACTCCAGCACCTCCCTGGTGTCATGTGCCTTTGAAGCATACAGATCTGTCTCATCATGCATGTCTGTTCCCTTCCATTCTGGCCTCAAGGATGACAGTTCCTGCAGGCAGCCATTGCAGCAGGTCTGTGGGATCTGAGCGGGTCCTGCCAGCCCCAGGTGTGGTTTTAGCAGTGGCTCCGGTTCTCATCTTCAACTACAGACTGTCTTACTTTCAGTGACTAACACTATCTGAGCTGGCAATATAGCTCAGTTGGTAGAGTGCGTTCCTCGAATACACAAGGCCCTGAGTTCAATTCCCAGCACCACCAAAGATAAACAAACAAAAAATGACTATCACTATCTGGCTGCCATGTCAGGACCACATTCCTCCTGCCAACCTGGAGGAGAATCACCATCTCTGGGGAAGAGAACTGATTCCCATCTCCATCCAGGGGCACAGCTGGCAGCCCAGGAAAAACACCAATGGAAAATGAAAAATAACTTGTTCTAGTTTGGTACCATTTTCCAAAGGGGATGAAGGAGACACTAGAGAATAGGAACGGGTAAAGACACCCATTCTGATATTAGGCAGCTGCTATTTTTCAATTCATATAAACTCTGCCACCCTTTCTTCTACAGGGGTGCTATGATCTTCATTTTACAATGAGTTTGTTGAGGCATAGAGGTTAAACATCTCCCCCAAGGCCCATAGTGAACTAGTCAGTGCCCAGATCTGACCACATATGATCTCTGTCACTCCCAGAACCCATGCTCACACCAGTGGGGACATGACTGAAAATTAAAGTATTCCTCCTCTTTTCAGTCCCACAGCAAAGGATGGCCTGATGCATTGTCAAAGCTCCAGGCTATAATGTATCTGGGGGGAAGGAGAAAAAATGGCACCTGAGTGGAACTTAAAGTGGGCTATCAATTCTGTGTATGTATCCTTGTCTTTTGCTGTTCTGGGGATCTTGACATTATTCATGAGCTGAAAAATTTCCCTTCTATTGTTCCTGTACTTTGTTTGAAAAGTACTCAAGATGTGGATTTCCCAAGAATTCTATGGGGTGGGTCACTAGGTTAGAACAGCCCTAATACAGTGGACTCCGCTGGCCTGTGTCCTCCCTCTGCACAAGACCCTTGACCTATAGACCCTGCCTCATTAACTTTGCCTGTACACCCTGCTTCTCTTCCAAAACAGACTCTAGGATGTGAGGGCTATCTGGCTGGGACATCTGTCACCCCACTGATTGCCAGGGTTGATGCGATTAATCTGGCTGGCTAGGAGGGTGTCCCCTTCCTCCCTCACTGCTCCATGTGTGTCCCTCCTGAAGCTGCATGCTCGGTCAAAGAGGATGACCTTCCCTAATAGAGAAACGTTTTTTGGTCAAGGATATACAAGTAGCTGCGCTTCCCTGCTAGAACCTCCAAACAAGCTCTCAAGGTCCAAAAGAGACACTACAGGCAGTTTACAAAACAAACATTCAACACCAAAATGCTAAACATAAAACAACCGAGATTGAGGTGGGGTAGAAATTTTATTAAGAAACCTGGCAGAGGAAAGGACAGAGGTTGAGCATAAGATTAATTCTGAGTCTCCTCATAGCCAGGGCCAAAAAGAAAACACAAGAAAATGAAGCACCTTTCACCTAGAAGAATGAAGACCACCTAAACTGTCTCCTAGATCCAAGCCCAGAGGAATCTGTCCTAAAAGTCTTTCTTTAAGGGCCACTGTACAAGGGGATGATTTGAACCACAGCAACTTTACCCCTAAAAGTGCAGGTATGTTTGGCCTATGGGCCTGAGGGTCATCTGCACAAGATCAAAGTCTGGTTTTGTTTACTATACCTTTTCTTTCCACTCCCACCTACTTAGCTGGGGCAACTCAACCAGGTCTGAGCATCTGAAAAGGGCCATCTGTGAGATAAGTTCATCATCGCACTGCCCCAGACAACTCTAAACAGCTGCTACATCCTGGAGACCTCAGAAGCATGGTGCTCCCTCTGGAGTTATGAATAATTCAAGACCACAGCTACACAGAGCTGCAGTCTGTGAGGGATGACTGTGAAGTACAGTCCATATACACCCCCTCCTGCTGCCACCCTTTCTAGAACCAGAGGTGGGGGAAACTGGCTCCTCTCCTGCCCCCTGGCCATCCTGGAATAAGGTAGTTCCAGAAGCTTTGCAAATCCATCCTAGAATAAGGTAGTTCCTGGAGCTTCCTTCTAATGGCAAGGAAGTCATGGAGATAATAAAATCAAAGATGACCTTACCTGTGACAGTGTTCCCCATTCAGATCCTTCACTGTGACAGAGCATAACTGGGTAAATTTCTCCTTTCATTTGATCCACGACTTGTGGCCTTTTCTGTAACATAAGTGCCTCTGAGCATACTTCCCCTCTCCGCTGGAAAGTGTCAAATCACCCAGCACAATGGTATGAAGCTGGGATGTGGAGCCACACATGTATGACTCAAAATGCACACACATAACACACAGATTACAACAGTACTTACCTCCATGGGTTTACTGAGAATAATGAATGCAGAACCTCCTACACAGTAAGCATCCAATATGTTATTAATTATGAAAATATAAAAAGAAAAATTTTGCATATATTGTTGAAGGTTCATGATTTCTAGGATATCCTAGGGTTAAGAATCCTTAGCCTGTTCTCCTGGTCAGGAAGACAACAGCTCTCACCAATATCCACATTTTCTCTCTGAACTCCATTAGCATTTACTGAGTACCTCTTGTGTATCGGCTGTTCTGACCCATATGAGCATCTTGGTGACCAGTTGTTAACACACCTGAGTGTAAGGATCATTCCCATTCCACTGATGAGGGGAGATAAGTTACCCAAGGCCTCATGGTGGAGGAGCTGCTGTTAAAACCGGCCCTCTTTTTATTTATTTTTTTGGTTAGACAAAATACCTTCATTTTATTTATTTATTTTTATGTGGTGCTGAGAATCGAACCCAGGGCTTCGGTGCATGCTAGGCAAGCGCTCTACCGCTGAGCCACAACCCCAGCCCTAACTCTGCCTCTTTGATGTGACTTAAGGAACATCACTTGACTCCTTGCCTTCCTCACCTGTAAAATAGGACAGTTCCAACTGCACAGGGTGTTTTGGGAGAGTGATGTGCAGTCAAGTATGGAGAGTACCTGGCGTGACGTCAGTACTACAGGAGTGGTGGCAATTCTCATATCATTAAATCTTGATTTGCAACAAGGACACCAAGGCCCAAAGGAGTAAATGAAGAACAGCTTGCTCAGCCATCTTCATCTTATTCTTTTCAACCAATCTACGCTGCTTTGCAGGCTGCTTTGACAAACATTCCCTTCCAATTGGATACATGATGCCCAAGGAAAGGTTTTCACGGGGTGTTTAAATAGCTTGGGGAATGAAACGATCAGAGCAAATCAGTCATTCTGACACCTAAAAATGACTGCTGAGGTGAGGAAGTGGAGGAGCAGACAAGGGAGGGGCTGCTCAGGAAGCAGGATTTAGTATGCTGGTGAGGACTCTGCTTCTCAGTAACAAGATGCCTGAAGAATGGCGGTGCTTCTAGACCAGCTCCCTCTAGTTCTGGGAACAGCAGTAATTTCTTGGAAACTTCACTGGCGAAGGCAGCCTTCCAAAAGCATGAGAACTTCAGTTTGGACAAACCATTTAAGCTCACTTTTGTTGAGGAGTAAATGGATTTAAAGTAGGACACACAAAGAAGCAACTGAGGGTGTTGAAAGCAGCAGCCTTAAAGGTAGACAAAGAACTGGCTTAGGATTAGAAGCAGTGGCTTTCTAGGCTGTGGACAGCTGTCCATTCAATAATTACACAGCCTGGCAGGAAGCAGGTATTTTTCTGTGTATGTTCTGATCCAACTAACAATTTTTCCAACGTCTGTTATATGTCAGGCACCCAGCCAAAGCTTCTCCTTATAAACTTCATTTAATACCAGTGCCTCAGAAAATGCATTACTGGCCTTTTTCAGATGAGGAAGCAGGAAAAGAGAGGAAACCAACATTGGGATCTCTTCCTGGTTTCCTGAACTTCAAGCACAGTGATATCTCTACTAGATCAAGCTGCCTAGTCTCAGGGATCAAGAAAAGGCCTAAGAGTTGAGAGGGTCTGCAGGTGCATCTTAGGACCACATACTTAGACATTCCTGCTACAAGGCTGCTAGTGACCATGAGAAAGTTTCCAGGCCAGGTACAGAATTCAACATCATTTTTCTAGCCCAGGTTCCCTTAGGGGAGGGGGGAAAAAAGCCACAACAGGGGATACAAATTTTTAACATACTTTATTGACTTAGGGTCAAACAAGGCAGCATTTGGTCAATTAAGAAAGGCACCTCATTGAAGATAATACATCACAGTGCTGTCGAGTGTCCCACTCACAGGATATGAGGATGGAAAGGGTAATCTTTGGATGATATAGCTTAGGACACTTGTTCATTTTATTATTTTTATTTACTTATTTTTCATGGTGCTGGGGACTAAACTCAGGGCCTTGTGCATGCCAGGCAAGCATTATACGACTGAGCTACATCCCCAGGCCTTGCTCATTTATTAAAAAGGGTCCTTTCACACACCACAGATGAAAGAAGGCATAAGATTGTGGCTCGTGCTGGGTGGTTGCTGAGACAGTGAGCTTAGCCATGACAGTGGTGAATCAGGGGAAGGGAAAGAGACCCACCTCCCCTTTTTTCCCCAACACTAGAAAACTTGATTTGTGAAGCCCCACCTCCAACGATACACCCCTTATCTCTTTTAGGTGTGGAGATGATTTTTTTTTTTTAATTGATGCTGGGGATTGAACCAGGTCCTTGCACATGCTAGGCAAGTGCTCTATTGCTGAGGTACATCCCTAGCCTATAGAGATGATTTTTTGATCTTATGGTGTGGGGCACCAGCGTTAACAATCAAACATCCTCTCTTCTAAGCTACAGAACACACAGGACCACAGTTTGATTTCCTGCATTCTTGGCCTGGCACCCCATGAGGTTCTGAGATAAAAGCTGAGGTCTAAGAACACTGGCTTTAAAATATATTGTCACCAGTTCAGAGTAAATGAAAACCCGATTGCTTAGAAATAAAAGTATCACCCTATTTGTATCCACACCCTCAATCACAGTATTTTTTTTTTTAAATTAATTGTTTATATTTTTAAAACTCCCACCTACATGTAAAAAAAACCCCCACTCACTACAACACTGCTGGTCTTCCAAATAGTCCTTCCCTCTCCATGCTTCCCCTGACACCCTTCCCCTCTGCCCAGCACCAAAGAGCAGGGATCACGCCGCGGGGTGATGAGCAGTGGTGCAGTCTCGCCTGGCCTTCTTTACTAGGCTGAAATAGAAAGGAAACAAGAGAGAACAAAATGGATTTTTAAAAACCAAGTAAATGTCAGAAAAGGTTGGCATGCACGCCCCAGCAGCCAAATGCATTAAACACTGGACATTTCTCTGCCATGAAAGCTCTCATGCCTGCTGAGGTTAAGATTTTGTAATTAAATGAAGCGAAAATATAATCATAATCACCTCAGAAAGGTATATTATCTCCTGTGATCATTTAGTTTTCACCTGCAATTTAAATGTCACTTGCACACGTGTGTGCATGTGTGCACATGTAAATGTTGTGAACAAATGTCAAATATTTAAGAAAGGAACACACACATTCAGTTAGCAAACATTCAAGAACCCTGACTCTGAGACCAAGTGCCTGAAACTATCCTTGGTCAAACATGAGTCAATTCCAAGATTCATGAGTTCACCCTCATTCAGAGAAGGATGTCAGACTCTTGGCAGGCATAGCTGATAGTTTTAGTTTCATTTTTTCTTGTCCATTCCCAGAAGCCATGTGCTTCCCAGAAACACCCAAAACCAGACTGGGTTTCCGTTAAGAGGGTAGAGTTAGATTAGAAGCAGGGGAGCAAAGGTAGGGCAGAGGCAGCACTCACTCACTTGGCTAGGTGAAGAGGAAAACAAGGTGGCCACACATCCATGCCCAGTTTCCACGTGGGCAGAGATCAAGCCCTCCAGGAGTCTCACAGACAGTAGGACAGCTCAGGTCAGATAGGGATGGGCACTTTATAGTCCATTGCAGCAGATTATGCTGAGGCAGGCAGAATTACTTACTGAATGTACCACTGACTTTCTAATGGTTTTTCCAGAGGCTGCAGGTTTTGTGGTCTCTTCACAGGAACCCATTAATTCATCTGTTTGGCACAATCAAACCAGAGACCAAAAGGCACAGCATGGACCCTAGGAAATGCTTAATAGCAGGGAAGCCAATGTTATAAACAAAAACTTTGTGACTGTCATAGGTGATCTTATTTTGGGGTGATTTTTTTTCTTGGGTTCCGTAGCTATTACCATCATGAAATAAAGGGCGAAAGACTGGATGGGAGGGAGAGGTTTGGGTTTAAAAAGGACACATTTGATTTGGGTTTTATATCCTAGAGAGGGACTGGGTTTGAATAAATTCTGACCAAAATGAATAAAAGAACAGATCATCCCCCAAATCACTATTTTGTTGATACTTGGAAACAAAGGCAAACATTAAAAACAAAGCAAAAAAACCTACCCTGGTCTCTCTTTGGGGAAGTAGATTTGGCTGCTCTCAGTTGTCCAGTCTGGATGTTCAGAAGACAATCTGAATTCCAAAGGACCTTTTACCTGGTTTAATTCTTTGAAACAATTCAGTTTTCAAACCCAAGTCCCAAAGGATCCATACCTTATAGCAGCACCATGATACAGATCACAAAACTATTTCAACCTGGCTTGGCTCTTTGTATAGTGATGACTTCTCCCAGTAAATTCTGGAATTTGCAATATAAGTGCCTTTTATTTTCCCAATTTGGGGGGAAATTAATAATCCCTATCCAGCTGCTGACTCTTGTAGCTTTTCATTGTAGACTGAAAAGTGGAATTCCCTGCCAACTCTCTACATCAGGAACTGTCTGACTTCATGTGACCTTGGACTTCTTATCAGCTGGGAAAAATACTATGAGGCTTTGGAACTGGGTACCTGGCAGATACCTGGTATGGTTTATTTTGGTTAAAAAATAAAATCAAGAGTATGGCTAAAGAAAGCTTGTCATCCCAGCAGCTCGGGAGACTGAGGCAGGAGGACTGTGAGTTCAAAGCCAGCCTCAGCAAAAGCAAGGTGCTAAGCAACTCATTAAAACCCTGTCTCTAAATAAAATACAAAATAGGGCTGGAAATGTGGCTCAGTGGTCAAGTGCCCCTGAATTCAATCCCCAGTACCTCACCACTGCCAAAAAAAAAAAAAAAAAAAACCTACAAGAGTATGGCTAAAGAAATAAATAGTTGGTAAAGCAACTGAGACCCAAACATAGAAAGTAGGAGTGACCACATACTGATAACACACACAGACACACAGATGAGATGAGAGTTGCCTACACACCAGGTACATCAAGCAAGTGCTTTTTAATCAGTAAATCAAGAGAGATTCTTCTAGCCTGAGGAAGGACGCTTCCCTCTGCCTGCCCTGCCATTCCTACCCACGCCCTTAACAGGGATAGGAAGAAGAAATTCCTTTCAGAACCCAACATTAGATAAACATAACCAAGTCTTTACATGTGGCTTTGGAGAAAGCTGCTAGGATGCTTGCAAATACGACATCAGGGGTCTGGGATGCATTGATGGCAGAGTGGATCCCCCGCTTCCTGTAGTACTCCACAAGTGGGGTGGTCTGGGAGTGGTAGGCTTCCAGGCGTATTTTCAAGGCCTTCTCATTATCATCTGATCGGCGGATCAAGGGTTCCCCAGTGATCTGAGAATAAGAAGGGGAATGAAAGGATGGGACTATTTGCAAGGTTTCTTTATCCATGTCAGATGTGAGATGAGACTATTCTGTCTAGGATGTTGTCTGATCCCATAGTTCATCAGAAACAAAGACAGATAATCTAGACCCTCTCTGGTAAAGAATTTTCCCACTCCCAGTAGCAGACTAGCAGGTCCAGAGAAGTCAGAGAACCCGTCAGAAACATGAGAAGCAAGAAAGATAGAGGCCCCCGAGACAAGAAGAATACATTGAAATTAGGGATGCATTAGTAATTATAATCCTAGTTGTTTTAGTACTTAGCATAAGTACCAGAGTATCACCCATCAACATTCTAATAGTGTAAAGTGAAGTGAGAAAGAACTCTGAATGGTAGAATTACCAGTTTTTCAAAATGTGCCTAAATTATGATGGCTTTGGAATTTGTATTTATAGAACTTGGATGACCTGATGAATTTATCTCATGTGACAAAGATAAACCCAGGAAATTGTCACTGTTGCCTGCATGCAACAGATCACATGCACTCCTTATTGCAAACGGTCTAGTGACCATGTATGACCATGTATGAAACTCCAGGGTACAGCAGAGCAGTCACTAGGATATTGTGAAGCAGAACTGATCAGTATACTTCTCTTCAGTATTACCCCTCCACCCCCTAGTTCTGGGCTTCTCTGAAACCTTTTTCTGATTAGCGGACCACTTATGGTCATATCATATCAGAACAGGGTTACTTGGGACAGAAGATATTATAAGGCACTGGGAAACAGCTGGCACTAGCAGCTGCTTTGAGGTCAAGCAACACCCAGAAAGACACTATACAGATTTGTCACAAGCCATCTGATTTATTAACAGTGCTATTTTTCATGGTTAAGTCAGTAATATTGATAAAATGGAAGATGGAAAGAACAAAGGGGAGAGAGAGACAGAGAGAGAAAGAGAGAGAGAGAGAGACACACACACATACACACACACACACACACACAGAGGGAGCAAAAAATGAAGGGAGAAAGAAGAAAGAACATTTCCTGTCCTGAGTTTACGTACATCATCTTTCATGGGTTGCTTTGGGGGATTGAACTCCTCATGGTAGGACCGGCCACTTCTGGGGTGAATCAGCCTGAAAGACAGCAAATGTACATGAATCAGGTTGCCAGAAAGTAGCTTCTGCACCCCAAAAGTCTCCTGAGTGAGCAAGAAAGACAAAAAAGCTGGATGTAAAGCCTTTAACCCAACAGAAAACCCAGTTAAAGGTAACTATTGATTTGGAAAATAACGACTTACGCAAAGGCAGAGTGGGTGTATTTTCTATTTTGACCAAACACAATGAGTGTTTAAAGAGGCAAGCTGCTAACGTAACTACTTAATTCAGGACTTGAAAGAAGGAGTTCTGGTGTTGATCTCACATAGTCATCTATTCTATTCACTAGTTCATTCAATGAACATTAATAGTGCCTCGTCCAATTCAGGCCTTAAGTTGAAGCCTCAGACTAGTTGGAAGCAATGAGTTGAGATTTCTGTTCATAAGTGCTTAGTCAGGGAAAGGACTGTGGAACATATAACTCACGATCCTCCTGCCTCAACAGGAGGAACAGCTACTACACCTGGATTAATGCCATTTTCCAAACCAGTTTGGTTACAAAACCAAACAGCTGCTAACAGGAAAAAAAAAAAAAAAAGAATTCCATGAACAAGAACACCACGAGATAATGCAGCATACCTTTACAATCACATCGATAAAGCACAGCCTAACCATTACAGGGCAATATTCAGGACAAATGATATATTAAAAAAGTCACCAAGTGGTACAGTGGTTTGTTCCTATAATATCAGCTACTTGAGAGGCTAAAGGAGAAAGGTGGTTTGAGTCCTGTCTATGATCAGACAAAACAAAACAACACTTTCCACATCTTGGCATACACAGAAATAATATTTGTACAACACTCAGGGGGCTTGCTCCTTGGGAGGGAGCAATGGGCACCCCAAGCCTACCCAGTTGCTCTGATGGCTGAGGGGATTAATATCTTAGCACATCAGTTGGGAAATTCTACTAATTCTGTTTATATTACTGAAGTCATACATTAACAGAATGTGATACTACACTATTTTAATCTCAGCATATCTGAGGGGGTAGGGAGAGATGATTCATTTATGGCATAAGGTGATAGTACGTCAATGGGAAGGAGAAAAGGGGACAGGAGAGAACTGTGACTGCAACATGTACGGTGAGATTGGCCTCTCCATTATTTGAGTCCCTAGAAGAGGTCCTTTGATTCATCTATTCAGAAATGGCATCTGTTGGGAGGCCCAGGGAGAGGGAAAGCACAGGCTGCTGGGCTCAGCTGCCATGTCTATCCATGGGAAAGGCTGGGGGCACGAGATGTGGCCCAGTGGTATTCTTCACCTGTAAGACACACGGCACATAGAAGCCATGTTGCAACAAATACAACTCTCTCCTTTCCTCATCTCTATACTACCAATTGTGAATTCCCAGATTCCCTCACACACAACATGCTCTTTCCCCATCCAAACATTTTTTTTTTTTGCATAGTCAGCAAGCGCTCTACCACAAACTTGATTTTAAAGAGAGATTCAAGGCTCGCTTTCCAGAAGGTAAATGAAAGAAAGCAAGCCCAGTCTCTAGGTTCTCAAAATGGGATTAGTTTCAAGTACCAACAAAAACAGCCCCACGAGTCACTGGGCTGGCCTGAATACAGAGGCAAAAATGAGAAGCAACCAAGGCTGGAATCTACAGACACTGTTTATTTTTATTTATTTATTTTTGGTACTGGGGATTGAACCCAGGAGAACTTTATCACTGAGCTATATCTCGGTCCCTTTTTATTTTGAGACAGTATATTGCTAAGTTACTTAGGGCCCAAGTTACTGAGGTTGGCCTCGAACTTGCATCCTCCTGCCTCATCTCCCAAATTGCTGGGATTACGGGTGTGCACCACCCCATTTGGCATCATCTCTTTTTATTAGCATTAGACATTACGATAATGACACCACAGAGCCAACTGGTAAGATAATAGGATACTAGAAAACCAATACTGAGTAGGTGAAAAATAAAAACTATCACATTCAAGATACTAAATTATCATAAGTGAGGCTGTAACTAATTCAGAAATCTATTATAATGAGGTCCTTATCGCCTCAGCCTTAACAGGAGCTACATTGAACGGTCTACTATCTGCCTCCCTTCCTTCCATCAGTGCAGTATTCTAGGAAGCAGAAAGCAGGTTTCTGGTGCTGGTTCTGCCACTCATCTACTCAGTGAATTTTGAAAAACATCTTTACTAGTCTGGCATGCCCTGTGAGGGAATGGGTCCTCTTCTTTGAGTGAGGAAGTCACACTAAACCACTCATTTCCAAACGGAGGGGCCGAGTCTTCCCCTTCTACCCTTTATTATAATACTGCAGCTAGTTCTTTAGAATCTCTGCTCCCTCCATCCCCACCCACCTAGCTGCAGGCCTCCGTCATTTCATGTGGCTTATGTGCAAGCTCCCAGATGGGGTATTTATCTTGTTGCTCTTCTTCTTCAATTTACCTTGTATGCTAACACCAAGGTAATGTTCTTAGAATGCACTTTTTGCCCCAACATCAAGTGGCTTGAGAACATCCCATGACTCCTGAACTCTTTGTCAAGTCCACCCTGTTCAGTCTGGTAGACCTCCCATCAAACTCCCATCTTCTCTTTCCAAAAGCACTTACTTTGCCCCCCATTTCCAGAGTACTCCTCCAACTACGGAGCAGACAAGTCTGCTACTAGTCCTAGGTAGAATTCTTCTCCAATGCATACTCAATCCTGCTTCTACTCCCTTCTTAGAAGTCTGACTCACTGAATTCTCTTCATCCAGAAAGGCTGAATTGATATCATACCTCTCCTAGGCAGCTTCTCTCCCTGTCTCCAGACTCTGTTCTTGAACCTCCTACTGTACTAAATTACTGAACAGCCCAGATTTCAAATATATGACTCTTTGAGGTCAGAGATGGGCATCACTACACTGTTCCTCCTGTAGAGCCTCTTCTGGTCCTCCACCAGCAGGGTTAATAACTATGCTATGTAGAAAGCAGGTACTCAGGAAGCTGAACCCATTGAGTCTGCTTTGCACCTCAGGGACTCCAGGCCTAGTGATGTTTCTAACTGTCAATCCTATTGCTTGTTGGCCTGCATGAACTTTGTCTACTCTATACCCAACAGGGATACAAAGAAATAAAAAAGTCCCTGCAATGAAGGAGGCTATGGAACAGCTGAAAACATGAAACTTGGACATTTGAAAAGAAAATTAATATAAGGTAGATCTGACTAATTCCTACAGCCTTCTAGGAAAACATTTCTCCTATCACTTTGCCATCTATTTATATGTCTGTCTTTCTCTTTGAAGGTATGGACTATAGATACATAAAATATGTTCAACCTCAGAAAATCAAAATAGTCTAAAACAAGAACACATTTTCTTCCTAATTAAAAATTTACATGTCATATAATGATCACACTTAACAATTTAACAGTGGCTAATCAAAAGGAACACAAATGTACAGCAATAAGGGAATACTTAAGTAAGGAATGTTCTACCTACTACATGAAATTTCAAGTGACAATTAAAAATAATGATCATAGGGGCTGGGATTGTGGCTCAGCGGTAGAGCACTCGCCTAGCACGGGCAGGACCCGGGGTTCGATCCTCAGCACCACATAAAAATAAAGGCATTGTGTTGTATCCATCTATACCTAAAAAATAAATGTTTTTTAAAAAAATAATGATCATAGATATCTGCATAGATCAAAGTGCAATGACCACTTTCCTGAGACTTCATTAAACTGACAAAGATAAAAAAAGGTATAGCCCATATTCAAGAGAAGAACGGAGGGTCCTTTTTTTTTTTTTGGTAGCAGGGATTGAACTCAGGGACACTTGAATACTGAGCCACATCTCCAGCCCTATTTTATATTTTATTTAGAGATAACGTCTCACTGGGTTGCTTAGTGCCTCATTGAGCTATTTAGGGCCTTGCTAAGCTGCTGAGGCTGGCTTTAAACTTGCTATCCTCCTGCCTCAGCCTACTGAGCCACTGGGATTACAGATGTGTGCCACAGCGCCCAGCTGGAGGGTCCATTCATGACTGAGAACTTCTAACATATTTCTGCACTAGGAGCAAAGATTTCCTCTATTTTCTAAATTTTGTGTAGATGGTCATATTATTTTTTATAATTAATAAAAAGCCCACAGCAAACAATGAAACTCCACTGAAATCAGATTTAGAATAGAGATACACCTGTAAGGAATTTCTTAAGCACCTACTATAAGCAAAGCTCTGAACTATGTACTTTGTTATCTAACATGCATCCGAATAGGATCTGAAGCAAGTACTATCAACCCTATACCACAGAAAAGGTAACAGCCTTAGAGAGAGGTTAAAAAAAGTGCCTAGAGTAAAAGATAAAAAGATAGGACTGAGATGCTGACTTTAAATCCCTTGCTCTTTTTCTATATTGTCAACTCATGTCACCACTTCAGTGGATGTGACCAAGTAAGATCAATCCTTGTTGAAATGGCACTAAGCTTCATGGGTGGGATTAGGTAAGAGCAATTCTCATAGTGTGACAGATTTGAGGAAACATGAAAAGAAGGGACCTTTAAGGGACAAATACCTTCCAGTGATTCTCCGGATTAGCAGGGAGTCTGGAATGCGGAATTCAATCACAGAATCAAGCTTCTCTTTCCTCTTCTCCATGAGATCATCAAGCTGTAAAAGAGTGCGACCCACCTAAGTTATCAGAGCTTGGTCAGACCCATCTCCTTCAACGGGATTAAGAGATAAAGGGCCAGAGTTTGCTCTGAGGAAATGGTAACAGAAATAATAAACAACTCACCATTTCTGCCTGTCTCACAGTCCGAGGGAAGCCGTCCAGAAGAAAGCCATTTTTGCATGACGGGGTCTCCAAATTCTTCTCAATAAGCTCCACTACCATTTCATCACTCACCTGGAAGTAAAGAACAAAACAGCCTTGGGTTTAAATTTGTTAACTAGGTGACATTAGTCTAACTCTAGGGTCAAAAGTTTTTATTTGTTTCACTTAATTACTAAATGGCAAGTCCTCTTGACCCCAAAGAAGCAAAAATGAGAGCAAGTGGCTCCATTTGCAAGACCTGGTTTTGTCATTGTTCCTGTAGTTGCCATACATATTCTTTTCCCTTGAAATTCTCTTGTGTTCCAAAAATCTGGGTGAGGGAAGGGGATTTTACAGTCTGTCAGATCACCAGAACTCCATGTGGTAGGTCCTGAAGGCCTCTCTTGCTACTAGAGTCAAGAGTCCTAACCATCAGATAACAGCTTATCAACAACCAGCTGACTTCAAGGCACAAGTGAGGGTCCATGGCTAAGATATCATCCAAGAAAACCAGGATAGAAAAGGGATTGATTAGAATGCAGGCAGACACCAACTATTCCTGATTCACAATTCTGATTGGGCTAAAAGTATAATGACTGAGATATATGCTTGGTCACACATCTGGGCAATCCTGAATTTATAAGACAACAGAGAACTTCACTGAATTGGTAAGACTGGATTAGAAATATGGAACTGAAGGACCTGTACATTTCTGAACCTCTCTGAAACCCCAATAAGGACCCCTCTCAACTTTCAAAATCTGGTTCTTCTGCTAAGCCTTTATAGAAACAAAAGTTCCTACTGTGTGTTGCAGTGAAGGTTGCCCATTATGGTAGCTAATGGTCTTTTGTCAGGACTCGCTAGGAACTCGGGGACAAAGTATCAGCTCTATGACTAAGAGAAGGTTGGAGAGAAGCAATCCTACGGTCACATCCCAATTTTCTCAGTACAGAATTTTCTGCCAAGACCTAATGTTCAAAATAAAATATCTAGCTGCTGACTTGACTGAAAGCCTCATTAACATAAATGAAAATCTAGAAAAGAAATGGTTAGGTGGGCAGACATACTATGGGGTAACTCAAAGCCTAAAAGGAAGTTGGAGGTGAAAGCAAAACTCAGTATCTTCCCCAGCCAACATAATCAGACACAAAAATACCAGATAACCAAGCACAAAATGACTTCTGAAGGTGATTTCTAGGGTCAAGTTCTAGAATAACTCAGTTATAATTAAGCTCTGGCATTAATTAGAGATTTAGTATCTAATACATTGTATTTGTCCAATCAGGCCAACTGGTCTAAACTCAAGAGAAAATTCCATTATATTCCCCAAGTAGAATTATTTTTGTTCCAATTGCTAACTCCCTTGTTAGAGACAGAGAACACGCCATGCAAGAGGTTAAAAAATATATCTGTGACTTTCTGAGTCTTCTTTTGAATACCCCTGAGTTCTGGCTTAGGGATGGCAGTTTCAGTCTTGGCCCTAAAATTTTAATATATTACAATAAAGCATTAGGCATAAAGGAACCTCAAGAATACTGTGAATACGGGATGTAGCTCATTTGGCAAAGCATTTGCCTACCGTGGGCAAAGCCCTGGGTTCAATCCTCAGCATCACCAAAAAAATAAAAATAAAAAAACAAAGAACATTGTAAATAAATTCAGAGTCACAAATTCAGAACATACCAAGTAATTTGCTATTCTAAAAATTTATATAATATAATATAATATAGTACAGGGCTGCCCTAAAGAACTTTCAGTGATGATGGAAATGTTCTATATCTTTGTTGCCTGGTGAATACCCAAAACATAGCTAGCACAGTTGAATTTCATTTATTTATTTATTGACTGATTGATTGATTGTGGTGCTGGAGTTTGAACCCAGGCCTTTGGGCATGCAAGGCAAGTATTCTACCAACTGAGCTACATCCCCAGGCCACACACAACTGAATTTTAAATTCATATAAAGAGCCACATGTGTTTGGTGGCTATTATATTTGGATAGTGTGGATCTAGACTCAGGAATATCAACTCACTAATGCGACCAAACCTACCAGTTTCCCAGCATCCATAGTTGCTTTCAACTTTTTTCCCAGTTCTGAGCCAGAAGCTACCATGGCCCTCAGCATATCTCCAGTGGCCAAATGGCAGACACAGAAGTTTTCTGCCAATTTGGGGGCCTGTGGAAGAAAGACAAAAAACAAGATATAGTTAACCCTGCAGGCCTGGTATCAGACTGCCTGGGCATAAACCTGATCCTACCACTTATCGGATGTGTAAATTCAGTCAAGTTCCTGCTTTCTTACTTATAAAGAGATAAAAGCACCATATATCATATTCTAATGTAAATTATAGGATTATGATAACAATTATACATGACAAACATGTAAACTACTATTATCACTACTTTCACTATTACAAATGGGAAGAACAAAATTATTAATACTTCACATACCTGCTGTGAAGCTTAAATAAGATCATGCATATAAAGCATGTGGCATAGTACTGGGCACATAATGTGCTGAGTATCTGCCCAAGAATGAACGTGTTATTGTCATGTACTGTAACAACTGGGCCTGGAAGCTAAGGGCAGGGTGAAGAACACGTTTGCTTCCCAGCAGGGGTTCCTCCCCTCCTGTCATGAGGTAGCTGCATCACCTTGGTCAAATCACTTAACTTCTCATAGACTTGGCTTCCTTATCTGTTTAACATGAAGGCAAAAAAGAAAAGAAAGAAAAAAGCTCCATGTCAGAAGGTATCTGTGAGGCTTATATTATAGAAGCAGAGCATATGGCAAACAGCACCCACATGGTAGCTCCGGATGCAGTATAGCCTTGTGGTTAAAAGCATGGGCTTGAAAGTCAATCTGCCTGGGTTTTAGACTCCAGGTCCACCAATCACTACATTCATGTGACTTGAGAAGTTACTTCACCTTTCTAGGTTTCAAATTTCCTCTAAGTAAAATGGATGGTAATATTACTTATCACTGAGTTGATGAGAAGATTCTGTAGAATTCTGTATATGCAGGCCTGGTACATAGTAAGTCCTCAGTGAGCATAACCCCTGCCTTAGATCTATATTCACTCTTAGACTCTGTCTTCAAAGATTTAATAGTTTGGTGGACTATAAATTGGAACAGAATTAGAACATGAAAAGATCTCAGACAGGGGGCATTTTTCCACTAAGCTCTTTGTAGTGGCAAAAAAGAATTCAGAATTCACACAGAACTGAATTGGATCAAAGAACTTAATACTTAGGTTTCTGGTTCAGTTGTTTTAGGAAGTTAAATAGTTTGGAAACTTGTTCAAAACCAGTTTGTTCTCTGAGTTTTCTTAGGTGCATACAACCAAAGTAAATGGGGCTCAATGCAGGAAATTCTGGTTTTTGATTCATGGACTGATTCAATTGGAGCAAAGAAATTACTTTATAACGAAATGGAACCCATATGAGAAAGCATTAAAAACTATGAACTTTGGGAAAATAGTGAAAGTGAGAACCGGCTGGCAGTGGAAAACCAAGTTGGCACTATGGTCATACATTCAATCTCTCCTTGGTTGTTGAAATTAACTTGGGTGAATCATTTGGAGGTCAGGATTGCTCATGGGAAAAAGGTAACCAAAACACTACAGAGAAAAGCGGTTAGCACAGAACCTAATTGTTCTATCATCCTTCCCAAACTGCGAGGCTCTTCTACACTGTTCTAGGTAATTGGATTCTACAGCTGCATGAAGAACACACACTAATAGGAAGATGAGGCATGGTGAAAGACTACTTCTTGTTGGCTGCATGGGAGTTCATGAAAAGAACGTGGATGGGCTTGAAGCCTAATGAAGTAACTATTGTAGTCCCATCATACTTCAAATTTATGCTTTAGAGTAGTTTTTCAGACTACAAACTGCCTAGAGGGGTACTATTTACATGCAGATTATGATTCCAAAAGTCCAGCGCTGAGCAAGTGCTTAATTTTAAACCAGCTTCTAGGCCTGGATGGGCAGCTGGCCACTGGGCCACACTGTGAAGAGGAGGAGCCTAGAGTTCACACAATCACACTCTGCAGTTGGCCAGACTATTTCTGAACCCAAGTACCATACTCATTACCTCTTTGAGGATCTTGTGGGTGGTGGAGAACTTTTTTGCGAGGAGTGGATGGGAATGGCTAAAACTACTAGAGGCAGCGTGCTGGGGCGTAGTAGTTCTCAAACATCAGTATAGAAGGATCCTGACTTCTCCCAGTTCAACTTAGGATATTTTGGTTTTATCATAGTTTTCTTTTTGATACTGGAGATTGAGCCTGGGGCACTTTTCCACTAAGCTACATCCCAGTCCTTTTTATTTTGAGCTAAGTTTCCTCAGCTGGCCTTGAACTTGTAATCTTCCTGCCTCAGTCTACCAAGAGACTGGGATTACAGTAGTGTGCTACAATGCCTGGCTTTTACATGGTTTTAAAGAGATATACATTCAGTTGAAGCTTTGAACTTTCATAGGCTAGCAAAACGTGGAATGACACTCTTCTGTGATGCTGGGCAAAGGCAATAGCCACTGGTTTCAGACTCTAGTTCCCAGTTGGTCATAAGATCATGAGTGGAAACAGCTGATAATGTACAATATACTGTGTTGCTAAGCTATGTTTGGTAGATTATATGTACTAAATGCATTTTTAACATACAATGGATCTTATCTGGAAGTAACCCTATCCTAAGTAGAGCACTATATCATTGCAATCACGTGAGGCACTTGCTTAAAGTATAAATGCTAGATCCACCCTTACAGTTACGATTGAGGGGTTCTCATGTAGAGCCTTGGGATTCTGATGCACACACAGTTTGTGACACTCTGGGGTAGTGGCAAGAGACTGAGTTTTGTATTGGTACAAATCTGGATTGGAAACCAGGTTCTATAATTCACTCAAAACTACCATGGGGATTTAATGAGAGTATGTGTGCAAAATCATTCAGCATAGCTGGGCAAGGTGGTGCACATCTGTAATCCCAGTGACTTGGGAGACTCGGGCAGGAAGACAGCAGGTTCAAGGGCAGCCTCAGCAACTTAGCAAGGCCCTAAGCAACTTAGTGGAATCGTGTCTCAAAATAAAAAAGTAAAAAGGACTGGGGAGGTAGCTTGGTGCTAAAACACCCCTGGGTTCAATCTCCAGTACAAAACAAAAGAATCATATCCTGCAATACTGCTGGATATACCACCCTCTCCCTACCACACAAACACACACATTTAGAAGCTTCCTATATCTCAGTGCTAAGACATTAGTACTGAGACAAATATCTTAGTCTGACACTCAATGCCCTCCACAATCAATCCTACATTTGGCAAGCTCTTCAAACTTCCTTCTGAAAGTACTCTACATGTATGTCCTGCCTGGCACCACTCAGGCAAGTCGCTGTTATGTATGGTTCCCACACATAAAATAGGCTCTTCTCTACAAAGGAATGCCCTCTTCCTTTCCTCTACTGGTCTCAGTCATATCCTTCTCTATAGTAAAATTTTGCATCCATTTCTCCCAACAAAAAACCTTACCAATGACTTCTTCCTCTGAAGAAAATGCCAAGCAATTTTCCAAGCATTAATTTACAATATTTAGTATGCATAATACATACCCAAGAGGTATGAGCTATTTCTATCTGCTCTCTACAGAAGAAATTCGGAGGCTAGTTGCCTAGGATCACAAAACTAGTAAAAGCAGAGCTGGAAGCTGGCCCCATGACTGTAAAGGCCTAGCTCTTATCCACGACACTAAATGGCCTTAAAACAACCGAGTGTTAGTGTAGCACAGCTGTCCATATGAGAGGGGCGTGTGTGTGTGTGCAACCACAAGATTTCACAGTGCTGGCAATGTTCTGTCTTGATAATGGTGTAAGTTATACAAAACTGTGTTAACACTGTAAAATTCATCATTTTAAAAAGTATTTGCATCTTTCCCTATGTATATTATACTTTCATGTAAAAGTTTTTTTTTTAAATTATAGAAACTGTGTTTAGATTTCAGCTCTGCCTCTTAACTTACTGGGGCTATCATCACCAACCTCACTGGTTGGGTAGGATGATATACAGGAGGCCTGTGACAAATTACAGTTCTTGTTCTATTCCTGAACTAACTTGGCATTTGTCAGTGTTACTTATCTGATGCTTCCCACAGGGCAACTTCTACTAGAATGTATTTTTAAAATTCTATTTACTTATTTTTTTTCTTTTATTTGGACATTATAGTTGTGTTCATTTTGACATAATACATGCATGGAATTTAATTTACTCCATTTCAGTCCCTGATGACCTTCCCTCCTCTCCCCTCCCCACTATTCTCCTTCTACTCTTATTGTTCTACCTTCCACTCATTTATACATTTTATTTTATTTAAAAAATTTTTTTGTAGTTGTAGATGGACAGAATGCCTATATTTGTTTATTTTTATGTGGTGCTGAGGATTGAACCCAGTGCCTCACTCATGCTAGACAGGCGGTCTGCCGTTGAGCTACAGCCCCAGCCCTCATTTATATATTTTAAATTGGTGCTTTATAGATAACTAGTGTGTGTACTTCTTGTATGCATATCCAAAATGATGACTGATGAAGAATCAGGCAGACATGAGTTCAAATCCTGCCTTTGCTACTTACTGTGTTTGTATCCTGCAGCAAGATATAGCCTTAGGGCCTCAATTTCTGTAAAAAGGTATGAATAACAACAGAACATATCTTCTAGGGTTATAAAAATTAAATCAGATGAAGCATGCAAAATCTTTAGCTTGGGGTCTGTCACATAACTGAGTAAAGGGTTACAACTATGCTGTAATTATTACATTCTACTGAGTCACACAGCATAGGAGAAAATCTAACTTGGGGAAGCAGACAGCAGCAGATAGAGCTCTGGAATCATTCAGGCATAATCTCTACCAATTACTTGCTCCAGAGCCAAGAGAACAAGTCATTGGACTCTATTTCTCCAACTGTAACAGAGGGGATGTGAGTGTGGGTCTTAGAGTTGCTGTGAATTTAAATTCACTAGAGTAATTGAATAAACCTGAACTGGGAGATGGCAAGTGATTGCCTAAGTGTACTTGGCCTCAAATAACTGGCAAAAGCTGGACACATTGGAAAAACAAGGAAGGACTGGCAGAGGAAAAGAAAAGAAACACACTTGTTTTTGGCCACACTGGAGGAACATCCAGCTCTAGAAGGGAGACAGAAATAAAGTTATTTAAATAAAATAACAAACCTAAGTATTCTAGATGTTTTAAAACCTTTCACTGACACAAAAACAGTTTTTAAATGGTTAACCATTTTAAATTGAGGAATTAAAAAAAAGATTTAAGTCATGCCAACATAAAATACCTAAAATAATAGATATAGCAGGAAGTAGTAATAGGAAGAAAACTTCTGAGAAGGCACTGGGCACTAATTCCAGGTTAGGATAAATTTTACACTAAAGGTGGCAAATATTTATCAATGGGGGCCAGTCAGGCAATGTAAATGAGTGAAATGATTCTAATGTAAGCAATAGGCAGCACAGGGGGACTGTGCAGGGGACAGGAGAGTACACTGACCATCCAAAGTAACAATATTACTCAGTTGCAACAGACTACTGCTGTGCTGGAATGGAGGCCCATGGCTGCCAGACATTCTAATATTTTTTTTTAATTTTTAAAAATATTTTTAGTTGTTGATGGACCTTTATTTTATTCATATGGGTTGCTGAGAATCGAACCCAGTGCCTCACATGTGCCAGGCAAGCACTCTACCATTGAGCTACAGCTGCAGTGCCCCCCTTTTAAAAATAACTTTGTTTATTTATTATTATTATTATTTAAATATCTTTATTTTTTTTAAATTTTTATGTGGTGCTGAGACTCGAACCCAGTGCCTCACGCATGCCAGGCGAGCGCGCTACCACTTGAGCCACATCCCCAGCCCTTATTATTTTTAATGTAGTGTTGAGGCTCAAATCTAGTACTTCAAACATGTGAAGCAAGCACTGTACCACTGAGCCACAACCCCAGCTCTCTAATTTTTTAAGATAAACTGGAGCTCTGAGTTTAAAGAGAAATTGAATTTAAAGAGAAATTTCCCAACTGAAATATTCCATAGTACGTATTATTTTGAAAGCTGACAATTAAAGAGAACAAAGTAAGCATTATCTTACTTTTTCAATATGAACCATATTAATGGGTACAAATAAAGTAGGCAGAGATAGTTCAGCTAAGAAATGAAAAAGGAGTGATGTAATTAGAACATCATCACTTTGCTACCCATAAGGAATTAATGGACCTAGGCACTGAACAGCTATGGATGTGAATACCCCAGAGTCACAAAAGTATCAAGTAGGTGCCTGCTAATGGAGAGCAGAGCATCACCTGTAGTAGCTGGGCCAATAAATTGATCCTAAATCTGATTAAGTATATGGGTTAAACTAAACATTTATAAGAAATAGGACAGAAGAAAATGTTAAATACACCATAGGAACACAATCAAAAATTTCAAAAATGAGCAATAATACTCCCAGGACAAACTAGTTTTCCGTTCAAAAATGTAGGATTTAAAAAAAAATAAAGAGCAAAAAATTAAAAGAGACTATCATATTTGTGAGACAGATGGAAATTTGAACATTAACTACTATTAAAATTGTTAATTTTTAGGAGATATTGTATTCATATTTTTTCAAAAAAGAATTGATCTTTTAGAGATGTACGTTGAAATATTTACAAATGATAAATTATGATACCTGGGAGATACTTTGTGAAGGGAGAGTGGATGGGGAAGCAATGACCACCAGCTAATGGTTATGGGGATCCATTACACCATCCTGTCTTGTTTGACGTATTCAAAACTCAACATAATAAAAAAGTATGGGTGTGGAGTATGTCTGCAGGTGAAATGTTGCTACAGACTGCCACTTGCTACCTTCCTTTGGTTTATAACCTTTTTAAATTTCCCAGTACTGGGCGTTGAACCCAGGGTGCTTTACCATTGAGCTATATCCCCAGCCCTTTTTATTTTTTAACAGGGTCTCATTTAGTTGCCCAGGCTGGCCCTGAACTTGCAAATCTCCTAGCTCAGCCTCCTGAGTAAACTGGGATTACAGGTGTGTGTCACCACACCCTGCTTAACTCTTTTTGAATTCCATGAAACTACAACCACCAGTAATCCTATGGTTCCCACAATGCAAAGAAGCTGTACAGAGATTGTGACTTGTGTAAATCTTACTCCTTTCTCAAGTCCCAGCTCTAATATTCTCCACAAAGCCTTCTCTTCTACCATTCATCAACTACCATGGTCAACTTCTGCCATTCATCACCTACATTAATCAACTGTATTGTTTTCCTCAAATGTCCTGAATTAGTCATCTTTTACACTGAAATACATTAGAGTCAGGGGGAGAGGAGATATGTTACTGAGATAAGGGAGTCAATATTCATGCAACACCTACAGTGTGCTAGGCTGTCCACTAGATACATCTGGACACATTATAAATATATGAGGCATAATTGTTCAGCATCCTGGTGAATTTTTCATTTTTCAGGTGAGAAAACTAAGACTCTGAAGTTACACAGCTTGCTAGACTATAAAGCTCTTGTCTCAGCACTAGGATGGTTGTGCACTTCACAACTATTGAACCTACCAATTTCAATGTAAGTTAAGGAAAAGAGCCAAAGATGCATTTAAGCTACTGTTTATACTGAGTCACTCACAGCAAAAATCTGCAAAGTCTAAGATTAAACATCTCTAGGCTACAGGTTACCTAATAATTGAGGTGGTAACAGGAAGGAGATGTCAACATCATTGAGTACAAGGGGATTAGGTACTGGGTGGTGCCCCAAGAAGAATTAGCTCAGTTTATGGTGAGAAAAGGGAAAGTGGTCTTGGTCCGTCCTGACCCAGGTGGAAAGCAAAGTCACAGGAATGTATTGAGCCTTCTAGACCTCCCTTTTCCTCATCACCCATTAATCTGTGTCGTTCATCCATTTTCAGTAATCCTAATAAATGTCAAGTAATGTGCCGAGTGCCACAGGGGTCCCAAGAATGAGTGACATAGTCCGTTTGCCAAGTTTTTGTTTTGTTTTTTGGTAAAGTGTCCCTGGTTGTTTTCAAACTAATGGCCAAAATGATCCTCTTGCCTGAGCTTCCCAAGTAGCTGGGACTATAGGCATGGCCACCAGGCCAGGCTTGCCAAAACTTTTAAACTTGGTCTGTGCTATGAAGAGTGGGCATAAAACAGTCCTCCTTCACCTAGAAGCCCAGACTTTCAGAAATTCCCTCTTTAGTGCCTAATGATGGGCTGAAATCCAAGGCCCAGGGTCTGTGCTGTGGGGCAATGCTAAACCCTGGGCAGGAAGGGGACATCAATAATCAACTTACGGGCTTCCAAAACTTAAATGAGATCATAAATCCCAACTCTGATCAATCGCCCCTTTATTTCCCAGATCTAGAGGGGGCTCAGATGCCAAGTGAGGCCCTGTAGTCTGCTAGGCCAAAAAGCCAACTTCAGACTCCAATCCTTTGGAGGCCCAAGTTTCCATAAAACCAATTTCACTAACTTGGGAAAGTCATTTGACTTTTCTGGGCCTGTTTTCCTATCTGTTGATTCATGAAGCTAAATTTTTAAGTTCTCTCTCATCTAAAATCATTTAAGTTATCCTGAGCTGCTCAGCCTTCAGCTGTTCGGTGTTCACCCCCTCCTCCAACTCGTGGCTCACACCTATCATACCTCATTCTCTTAGCTGCACTCCTAATCACACACCAGCTCCCATTCTGCCTCACGTGTTGGAGATGCACCTCTACCAGCAGTCGTTAATCATTATCAAAAAAGTTCTCCTACCCGTAGTGCCTGGAACGTGACCCTAACTGGACAATTCACTTCCAACTCGCAAGGAATCTTGTCTCCGTTGAGCCTATAATTCAGAGTCCCAGGCTCACCCCAACCCTCAAAGCTAACCCACAAGGCATCCAACTACCCCGAGATCCTTTCCCCCCACACGACACGCCAATTCTGGATCCTTCAAGCACGCTAAGCCTAACCCAAACTCCTCGATCTCCTATGTGGACCCTCCCCCTAAACACGCCACCAAAACCGGAGACCCTGGCCAGGGTCCCCCCAGGCCTCAGCCCACCGCCGGCCGCTGAGCGAGAAAAGGGCTTCCGGGTCTCCGGCCGCCCTGACCTTGGAGTTTGGCGGGCTCCGTTGCCCAGCCAGGTCCGGACGCTCACCTGCGTACCCTTGCCAGCCCCAGGTGGCCCCAGCAGCACAGCCCGGATGCCTTTAGGACACTCGGGTTCGGCTGCCGGCGCGTTGGGAGCCATGTCCGCCAAAGCCTCTCGCAGCCACCCGCCCGCACACCTCACAGGTCCAGAACTACCAGGCCAGTGAGCCACGCACGCCACGCACGCCCCGCTCGCGCTCACACTGGCCGGTCGCCACGTCCGTCAGACCTCTCTAGCCCGCCCCTGAGGACGACTGACCCTTCAGTTTACCAATCGTGTGGCGACACTAATAACTGCTGCTTCTTATTGGGCATAATCGCTGGGGGAGTTGGGAAGAGGCGGGCCATCTTGTACTAAATTGGGCGGGGCGCTCGTGGCGCTCGAGGCTGGTGTACGGAGTGGGCGGGAAAACGTGAAAGAAGACCAGAGCCGAGGCTAGGGGTTCTAGTTCGGTATTTGACAGTTAATGACATCCGCAACTCCGTTTTAGTCCTATGAACTTGCCAGTGGGTGTATAAATGGGTAAAATCATTCTTAGAAAGTAAATCGACAGTATGCATCACGCACTCTTTGGTCCGGCAATTCCACTTCCAGGAATTAAAAGGATAGTATCAAGGATATGGGTAAAGATTTGTGTAACAGATGCTGCCTCACTTAACAATAGCCCTAATAAATAAATAAATAAATAAATAAGGCAGAGATTCAAATATCCAACAATTCGAGATTAGTTAAATAAATTGCAACAAATTTGTGTACTGGAATCTCTCCCATCGTATTTAATTACATGGGGAAAATAAACGTTCACCCAAATGATACAAAATTGCGATTACAGTAATCCCAATTTTATTTAACAGTTGCAAGGGGGGACCTCCAGTGTCATTTAGAGGAGCGTCTCCCTTTCTTTGCGCATTATTGTATTTCCCAAAAATTCTATAATGAATTTTATTTAAACAGGTATTAATTTTATAAGAAAAAAACTTTTAAGTCAGGAAAAAGATAAGTTTCCTTTTTTTGTTGTTTGTTTTTTCAAGAGAGACATCCCTCTCTTGGACAGAAATGATTTCTACAGTTTTTTGGTGTGTGAAAGTTTGATCCAGCCCCAAGGGCCCTTGAGATCTTTATTGACAGTGTGATTAGGAAACTATTATGTTCCACCACGGATTTAGAGCAAATGTTTACTACATCTTAGTGGTGAATTTGCTCTCCTTTCAGCTATGGTCTTTTCTACTTTACCTCACAGAAGTTAAGGTTCATTTCTCATTTCCACACTGGAGGCACAGGGTTCCTACTTGATCTTGTTGAATCTTCCCAGTGACCTTGAAAGTAGGAATTGTTATGCCCATTTTTCAGAAAGGAAACCTACATCTAGAGATATGCAGTAACCAGTTCAGAGTTTCATAGTAGCATTCTTACAATAAAGACTTTGAGTGACAATCTGGTGCCCCTTCTAGGAGCACAGTGCCTAAGGGGAACTAGTCCATTTTCTCTGGTAGAAGTTTCTATGTGGCCAAAATTCACTTCAATAAGACAAACTAAGGTATGTGGTGAGCAGAGCACTAGGCAAGGTGTGTAGGAACAGATTTCCCTTTCCACCAACAATGATTCTGACCAGGGATGGACCCCAGGAGGGAAAGCAACTGAAACTACACATAAATATACAAAATGTAAGATTTATTCATTCAATTAAAAATGTTCTAGGCTTTGAGGCATAGTAAAGATATTGACATTCCAGGAGAAGGGAGTAGCTCATTCATTTAGTACATTTAATTTTAACTAATAACTGCTACTATCCACCTATTATTGTGTTCTATGTGCCAAGTAGTGGACTGAGCAATTTATATGCACCATCTCATTTAATTCTCACAGCCACCTGTGTATAGGGTAGCTACTTTATATCAGCATTTTTTTAAATAGAGGAAACTAAGCCACAGAGATGTTAAGTATTGTACCTTGCTCAGGGTCAATGACTAGCCTGTGGTTGAGCAAAGATTTGAGCTCAGAGATGCAGCACTGCCAGGTAACAGACGTGGAGCTCACAGTCCAGCTGGATTCCAGCTAGAGTGATAATAATGAAAGTCTTTGTGAAATAGAAAGCACTTGATGGATGAAGAGGCTTTGACTTTGGGGTGGGGGACATCCCTGACTGAGAGAACTCTCAGAGCAAACCCTCACAAACAGGATAGAGCAGGTGTGCTTGGATTTTATTCAATAGGCTGTGGGGAATGGGAAGGTTTCTTGGGTAGGACAATAAAGACCAGATTCACATTATTTAAAGATTAGTTACAGGACGGATTTGAGAGAAAAGGGGTGGCTACAGGGCAATTTAAAAGGTATTTCTGTTAATATTTTGTGGCAGGCAGAAATAACAGCCCTTCAAAGAATTCCACATCCTAATCGCCGGAACCTATGACCATGTTACCTTACATGGCAAAAGGGACTTTGCAGATGTGATTAAGTTAAGGATTTTGAGATGGAGAGATTATCCTGGATTATCCGAGTGGTCCCAATATAATCACGAAGTCCTCATAAGGGAAGGAGGGAGGCAGGAGAGTCAAGAGAAGGGTCGGTGATGACACAAGCAGAGCTCAGAGTGATATGATTGCTGGCTGTGGAATGGGCAGTCACAAGTCAAGGAATGAAACTGGAGAAGAAAGGAAGTGGATTCTCCACTAGATACCTGAGGAAATGTGACCCTGCTCACACCTGACTTCACATAAGACCCATCGGGACTTCTGATCTCCAAAACTGTAATATCATGAAAAATTTGTCTTCTAAAAGCCACTAAATTTGTGATGTTTCACTAGAGCAGCAGTAGGAAACTAATATAAGTTCTTTGGGTACAAGTAATAGAAAACAGATTCTGGCTACATTCAGCAAAAAAAGGGAATTCATTGGGAAGATACAGCTGTACAACTGTAAGCCTCAGGAATTATAATTACCAGGGCTACTTTGGGTAATCTAGATATCAGGAATAAAAGTGAGCAGCTCTGAAGAAACATCTAGTCCCAACCCCAGCTTTTTCCATGTGAGAGTAGATAATCTTCTTCCCGCCCTTCCTTCCTCCCTTTCTTTCTTCCTGCAATACTGGAGATGGAACCCAGGAGTGTTCTACCACTGACATACATTAATTAATTTTTAGATAAGGTCTCAATAAGTTGCCTGCACTTGAACTTGTGACTGCCTTGAACTTGTGACTCTCCTGCCTTAGCCTCCTGAGACACTGGGATGATTGGCATGCACCACCTACCCAGCTGGGACCTCCTTTAGAGTAACACTTTAGCCTCTTCCCTTCATCTACCTGTTATTCCCTAGAGGAGGAGGAAGAATGACTTGAGCTCAACTCAGTTTTTTCTTTTTCCCTTTTAGATCTTTCTTCCCACAATAACTACAGGGTTTTTGCTCTCCTGCATGTTCAAAATTTCTCAGGGCCTAGACCTTACACAAAAGACTATGAATTTTTTTCTTTTCCTTTTTTTAAAATGAGATAGGGTCTCACTCTGTTGCCCAGGCTAGCCTTGAACTCTGGGGCTTGAGGGATCTTCCTGCCTCAGCCTCCTCAGTAGCTGAGACTATAGATACACATCACTAAGACTGCCTAAGTCTATGGTTTTCTAGCACTACCTGGGACTGGGTGGGGAAGTTTAATTTTTGTGTCCACTATTAGTCAGCCCACTTGTCTACTGGTAAAGACACATCTCAAAACAGCTTTGTCAGAAATAAAGATAATATTCTGATCTCCCTCTGCCTCATTTCTGTGACTACTCCTTCATTTGGTTTTAAACTTGATGAAGTCACCCCCAAAATGCAATGAAGAATTTCTTGTGAGTCATTTCTCATTTTCTGTATTTGTATATTCCATTCAAGAGTCAAATTTCTGGAATTGGGAATGTAGCTGAACAATAGAGCAATTGCCTATCAGGCCAGGCCCTGCGTTCAATCTGGGTACCCAAACAAAAAAAACAAAATCAAATTCGTTTTAGATTTGTTTATTCCTTGGTGAAAGCCAAAAGGGACCTTGACTGACACTTCCCTCAAGACTGCAGGGAATGGGAGAAGTAGTTCCCCCAAAGTAAATGGTGGAAGTTTCCAAAATCAGAAGAAAGGACCATTGGGTAGGCAGAAATAACAGATGTCCTCTATAGGGAGCTATTGCAAAGGTCTAGGAGAAAGATAATGAGGGCCTAGCCTATGGACATACAATGAATGGGACAGACCAGATGGTGATAAGAATGTCTGAATTTGGAGCTAGGTGACTGGTGGGATGATGGTGCCATTGATATTCATTTCCTTCATTCATTAATTGATTAATTCAAAATACTTCTAAGGAGCATTTATTATGTGCTCAGTATTGTGCTTGGTGCCAAGGATCCAGTGGTTAGTAAAAGGGAGGGCATCCATCCTTAGAGAACTTGCACTCAAGTGGGGAAAAATACAAATAAAACATTGTTGGATGCAATACCGGGGAAAGAATAGGTTTCAGAGAGAACACGGTGGAGGGGCCTCTAACTCAGATTTGAGGGAAATTTCATATAAGTGAGATGGAATCTTAAAGATAAGGAGGATTTGCCTAGAGGAGAGAAAGAAGCATATTCCAAAAACGTCAGCATGTGCCAAGGCCTAGAAATAAGAGAGACTGTGGAAAGCCAAGGGAACTGTGTGGTACTTGGCAGAGGAACGTGGGTCTTGTGTTGTGGAAATCCTCTACTCCTAGGGACCTGGTAGAAAACAGAGTCACCTTTCCCCCTGCAGAAGTGGAAAGAGCAGAATCTGCCTGCCTCTCTGGAAACATAGTCCCAGGCTTGCCAGCAGAATGTTCCTGCCCAGGACTTTGACCCTTGAAGGAGAAAGGTGTGGGGGCGGGGCCTATTCTCCAGGAAATGAGAGTCCAGTAGCTGTGGGTGGCCAATGGCCAGTCTTGGCTGTTCAGCCAGACTCTGACTGTGCCATGTCTCTGGCTATGTTCTCAGCCTAATTGCTCTTAGTTCCTACTCGGGTTTGGAATTCATGAAAACCACATATTGTTCAAGAAATCCATTCACTGCCTAGGTTAGCCTCCTAGAACCCTGATTGGTATACAGCCAGGAGAGGGTCAGTCTAATTGGAGTTAAAACCTGAGGGGATAGAGGAAAAAAAAGGGGGGGGGGAAGGGGAGGCAGAGTCTCATG